TATCATTGGACCAAGAGGCACGTGGACAGTGCATGAAGAAAATCACCATTGCACCAAAAGACGTGCGAAGGGCGCATGAAGACGGGGTGCATAGACTGTAAAGGTTTAAAAGCCCAGGCTTTCTTCTTTTCAGGGTCCCTCCCCAGAGGCACCCAGCTTGAGCTGTCATTCTGCTGTACCATGTTTGTACATGTACAATGCTGTACCATTAATTTAAATTATTTTTCTAAAATTGGACTTCTGAGACTCTGCTATGGGAAACCTAGGGCAAAGAGATTTCTTTAACAAAGATGCTGGGAAAGAAGTCCCTGGGGAAAGGGACTCTCAGGGCAAAACCATAGAGCCCTAGAAGGAGCACGCCCTACAGCCAGTGTGTGGCCCAGGCCACGGGAAAGACTTTGCACCTGGGAGCTGAGGCCTTCCCCCACGCAGTTAGCTGTCCTGGCCCCATCGCTCCCAGGGAGGCTGGAGGGCAGTTTGTCCCACTGTAACGCTTGGTTCCTCAGCAATGGGTGCTGCAGCCCTGGCCAGGCGGCTCTGTCCTGGGAGCTCTGCCCGTGGCCTGGGGATAGCAGGCAGATCCCACACTCCAGCTCTGCCTGACGGCTGCAGCAAGCGGAGGGCAGATCTGCCTCTCAGCCCAGGGCCTGGCCCGGGTCCAGGAAATACCCGACAGGAAGAAATCACAGCCTGCGGCACAGATAGGATAGATACTTCTGCAACAGGCACAGGCGCACATGCTGCCTCCCCCCTAGAAGGGGCTACGAGCCTTCTCTAGGAAGCAGCCAAGCAAAGAGAGGCTGAGACACCAATGTCACCAAGTCCAGCTGCAGGAAACACATGCAGCTCCCCAGCGACTGCTGCTCACAGAGCATCCCCTGCCGCTGGAGAGTCATGGGATGGGGCCAGGCAGGAAGGCAGCCCTGTGAGAGAGCGAGTCCAGAACATCTCCTCTGCTCTCAGATGACAGCCTTGGGACAGACAGAGCATATGGAAGGAGCACAGCGATGGAGACACGTGGTGAAGGGAAGCAGACATCCAAGACAGACAGGCATCCCTCGGTGTGTGGCCAGTGGTCACAGCCCTGGACAGCCTAGCTCTACGTGGAAGAAGCTGTAAGGAGAGCAACAGCAGCAGATTTTGAGCTGTTTGGCAGCCCCCAGCTCTCAGTATCAACCCTTCCCAACAAACAGTGAGACAGGCCCTTACCAAAGGTGGGCAACCACTACCAGGGCTCACCACATGGGACATGGCAGTCGCACTCGCAGACATCGCAGCGCAGGAACCAGCGGGCCCAGCCCGAGTGCTTGGTGACACAGGCTGAGATTTTGATGCAGCCACGGTTGAGGAAGGCTCCCAGGTGGGCCTGGGTGCTGCAAGATGAAGAGCATCTCCCGGTAATGTCCCGCTCACTGATCTCGATCCGGCCTCGCAGGCAGATCCCTGCAAGAGCAGGGCCAGAGCATGTCACAGGATGCCGACCAGCCCAACAGCCCTCCTGCAGCAGGCTAGGGGAAAAGAGGGATTGGAGAAGTGACTGCAAGCCCTCCCGCCTGCTCCCCATGCCGGCAGGGTGCTCCCTCAGGCTCAGTGTGACACTCAGCGGTACTCACGGAGGCAGGTGGGCTTAGGGGTCCAGTGGCCATCAGACTGG